GATGTATCACGACCTGAAAGGGTCATTCTGGTGGCGAGGTATGAAGAAGGACGTCGTCGAGTTTGTTAGAAGGTGTTTTACCTGTCAGCAAGTCAAGGTCGAACATCAGAGTCCGATTGGCCTCCTGCAGCCACTGCCGATTCCGAGGTGGAAGTGAGAGGAAGTCACGATGGATTTCGTCACGGGATTGCCGAGGTCGTCTGAACATCACGACGCTATCTGGGTTGTGGTCGACAGATTGACTAAGGTCGCGCATTTCTTACCCGTTTCGATGAACATGTCTCTGGACAAGTTGGCTGAGATATATACTCGTGGGATCATCCGAATCCACGGAGTGCCCGTTACGATTGTATCAGACAGAGATCCCAGATTCGTCAGTCGATTCTGGCACAGTTTACATGAGGCGATGGGCACGAAACTAGAGTTCAGTTCAGCCTACCATCTGGAGACGGACGGTCAGTGAGAGCGGACTATTCAGACGCTTGAGGATATGCTTCGCGCTTTGGTTGTTGACAAGGGTGCTAAGTGGGAGTCGTTGTTGCCTAACGTCGAGTTCGCGTATAACAACAACTATCATTCTTCTATTCAGATGGCTCCTTACGAGGCACTTTACGGTCGCAAGTGTCGTTCCCCTCTCTATTGGGATGACGTCGGAGAGCGACGAGTACTCGGTCCTAAGCTGATCGAGGAGACGGCAAATCAGGTCGAGTTGATCCGGCAGAGACCCAGGACAGCTCAGAGTCGATAGAAATCTTCCGCCGATCATCATCGACGAGACATTCAGTTCGAGGTTGGCGAGCCAGCCTTTCTCAGAGTTCGTCCGATTCGCGGAGTCGTGCGATTTGGAAAGAGAGGGAAGCTGCACCCTCGATTCATCGGTCCGTTCGAGGTTCTCGAGCGAGTAGGCGAGGTCGCGTATCGTTTAGCCCAACCTCCCGAGTTATCAGGCATTCATAATGTTTTCCACGCGTCTATGTTACGTAAGTATGTGTGCAACCCCGATCATGTCATTCCTCATACAGATATTCAGGTTCAGCCAGATATATCGTACGAGGAGCGACCGATAGCTGTACTAGACCGTCAGGTTCGTCGGCTCCGGAAGCGAGATATTCCCCTCGTG